CCATGATTTACCCAATGGAGTGCCTTGGGGCCTGAGAGCCAAACCAAGTAAGTTTCTCGGGGCCTCGAAGCCTACCCAAGGGTCTTCATAAGTCCATAAGGAATTACCATATCGATTGGTCTGAACCTATATAAGGAATTACCAGTTTGACCAAGATGAACATCCATACTCCAGTATTCTACCCAGATAATGTCCCAATAAAATAGTTCAAGTAGTAACCAATAGATTCCATAATCCATAAATAAGGAACCATCATATATTTCGGTGAAAATAGGAAACCAGCTAACACATTTAAGTTAACCATAGTTCATAAAACAGTAAATCAAGAAATCAATGATTTCAGAAAAATCACATTTTAAAACAGATAAAACATTTACATATCATATAAGGAACACACTAGAGAATCCAAAAATTATTTGGAGATACTTGATATTTATCAGGTAGAGAACATTAAACTTTTGTAATATAATAGGATTTTATAATCAAGATCGTACAATATTCAGATATTTTTTGGATGAAATTGAGTATCAGGAATGCATTCAGAATCTTTTACATCATAATTTTTGAAGATTTAGACATAACATGAGTGTTACCATTATTCAGGCAAATCAGAGCATTTTAGACTTTTGATTCTTGGAGAATTCTTAGTAATTTAATCTAATAAGAGTGGAGTGATGATTTGTGGTATTTAAGAATATATATTGAATTATCAGGATTTTGAGTCCAATTGAATCAACGATCCCAACACTGCGATACTTGTCAATCATTTGGACCATGATACTTCACTATTATTCACTGCTTATAACTGATTGCTCCAGTTGATCTGATCAATATAAGAATCATCCTTGACTAGTTCTTGAGGAGACGAATAGAGGTATTCCATTGGTATTTATTTCATCTTCAAGTTATAATAGTATCCCATAATGTCCGACGACTTTGGTCGTGCTCCATAATCTTTAGTGGCAGTACATTATTTACGTTCATCGATGTTCCCATAGTATATCCAATGACATTCACTTAATCCCAGTCTTCAAGGTAATTAGGTCATCACCGTATTTAGTGTTATTTTAGTCATTTTTGGGTGCACGCACATTAGTTATTTCAAAACTTGAGAATAATCCATCATTTTAATACTTCAATGACATGTCACACTTCCAGTAACCTAGCCTTCAAATGATTATTCAAAAACAAAGGGATCGTCGTATTAAGAATTTCCAAATGTATAAGTTTATATTATTGGGATTTTTCAAATAGATATGGAATTTAAATGGTGATTCCAAGGTTCAAGCGAATCAAAATTTGAGTTATCATGTTATCTCCAACATCAAAGCGATCCATCGTCCTTTTTACATTTTAAGCGTATTATCGTCATTCCAATAAATTTTGTCAATGGCATTACTTCCAATAAATTAGACTTCAAAGTATTCCAATTCCTTTAGAGTTAATAGTGTTTGGTTATTTGAACGTTGGATGTTATTTTAGTTATTTCGTAGCTCGAAGACATTTCGATAATTCAGATAAATCCAAACATATGTATTTTTTGGTAATTTGGTCAGATATATTTGTACAACGTTATTTTTTGCTTTTAGGGGTAATCATGGTCTTTTTACAGTGTAAGGGTATTTTGGTCAAATTATAATTCAATTCATTCATTTCATTACGTCTAATCTTTCCATTTAATTCAATTTTTATGAATTATTCAAACAAGAATAGTACTTTCTCTCTTAGGTTAGTCCAGGCCATTTTTACCCCATAGTGGTAATTTCGTGATTTTATACTCAGGTGATTCTGGTATTAAACATTTTAACGAAAATAATTAGAATTTAAAATTCTGGGATCATTGGCTCTTCAGATTAATCAATGTACTTAAAGTCACTTCTTACTAGTATTCTAATTCCTTTATGTAATTCAATATAGTTTTAACCAATTTATTACTTTAACCGTATTCGATTCGAGTCCATCCATATTCAAACATGCATAGTAGACCAATCATATACTTTCATGCATTTATCCATTATCAATATGTTCCAAAAAGCATAAAAAGAGGTAGTAAAGTATTACCTCAAAAATTTATCGAAAAACCAATTGGAATATGAAGATAAAACACTAAAAAATGGCTTATCGGGTGTGAATTTAGCAAAACAAATTTCAGATTCAGACTCAGGACGTCAAAAAACATAAAATAGGACTTTTCAGAAATTTTGACTTTTTTGTCAAAGTCAAAGGGTTGACTTAGACGGGTTGACTCGGACGAGTTGACTCAGTCTGGGTTTACTCAGTCGGGTCAAATAGTCCCAGTTCAGACCAGGTTGACCGGTTCAGGTCAGTCCAGATCATTTAGAAGAAACCTTGGTTGAATAAAAACCCCACACACGTACAATGACGCGTATAACGGGCGACAAGGCGAGGACGACGACCGATCACCTCCGATGGTACCAAACACCAAAATCAAACAATAACATATCAAATATTAAACTGAAACAAGCTAAAATGTTTGGAAAAGAATTGAACGCTTACCAAAGCAATGCTCGGCGAACCAGCGACGGTGCAGAGATTAACCCGACTGGGTTTAGGTCAAAACAGAGAGGGGAACACATTAGTGATGGCAGCGATGCAAGACGGTCACCGGATCGACGGAAAATCAAGCGACCGGGGAAGAAATTTTGGGGATTTTTCATCACACGAACAACCATCGATTTGTGGTGATATGAGGCGTTTCACGGCACGACGATGTTCGGGCTTTGGTCGCTGATCAACGACGAGTACAATGGTGGCGACGGTGGGTTGAACAGTGGCCGGATGCCGGCAAATTTGGGGTGGTAAGGGGGTGGGCACGACCGGCTAGGGATTTAGGAGGGAAAATTTGGGAATTAGGGATTTCATCAAGGGGTTTATTTTTCCACTAACCAAAAATGGTAAAATTCAGAGTTAAGTCCCTAAACTTTCCATAGGTTCCAAAATTGAGCTATAAACTTTTAAAAATTTATAATTTGGTCCTCAACTTTTCCCTTGTTACAACTTTAATTCGTTATTTTAAATTAATAAAATCTAGCCCTAAATTGGGGTGTGACAAAAATATTTATAGGTAACAATGATGACATCCTAATGTTTTCCAAAAGTCTTAGATGCATGCATACGAGAATGAAATGTCTGCAATTTCTTAATATAGTTAGTATTAAATATAATTAATAGTATGAATAAATATTATGATATTAAACTATGTTTAGTAAAAATTAATTTGGATTTGAAATCAAATGTGTTAGAAAATCTTATTTATTTTATGAAAATATAACAAATCTGTCTATTGAAATTGATTTTGAATTGGTAACCAAAAATATTGGAACTGTCAATGCATGGAACTTAGGCGATGGCTCCACTGTAAGGTTCTGGACGTATATGTGGACTAATCTGCTTTGTCCCTTGAGCGATGTTCAGATTGTTCATAATGATAATTTCATTGACGAATTAAAGGTATATGGCATGGTGGATAATAACAGTGAGTGGTGCCGGGATGTTTGTCGTGATCAACTACCCCCGATTGTCATGCTTGTAATTGTGGTTTGTTCGACCGTGTAATACTTAGTTAAATGGATTTCCTGGTGTGGTGGGAGAATTATGAGAATTTTACCACTAGGAGCGCGTATAGTAAGAGGACCATGAACGATGTTACCGCCACTCTTCCATGGTGGAGAACTCTTGCACACTATAGAGGATTCCCAAGTTTGAATTTTTTTTTTTTTAATCCGTTGAGGACGATTTCTTTAGAATGAGGAGACAGTTAGAAGATATATATCAATGGATTTGAGTTGTTTTGTTTGTGGTGTTATGGTTAAGTCTAGCTCTCATATTTTCCAAGTGTGCTCCTACTCGCGGTGTTTGGAAACATTTGATCAAAGGTGAACACTTAAATGTGTTTTTGAATTTGGACATAGTTTCATGGACCAAAATTAATCTAAAGAGTGTTGCTTCTTAAAAAGATAATGTTGATTGGAATCACTTATTCGGATCAGTGGTCTAAATGAAGCCAGGCATGCAACATGGTCTCATGCGACTTTGATGCCTAGAGCTTTAAGTTTAAAAACACCTCCGCTAGATTGATTCAAACTCAATTCTGATGGATCTCACCGTCCGGACAATGGTTTGTCAACGTATGGGGAAGTTTTACGATACCATGGAAAATTTGGTTAGTTACTCGAAGAAAATTAGTTTATGCTCGTCTCTCATTGTTGAATTATGGGGAAATTTTTAGGGATCAACTCTAGCTTTGAATTTCAACCTACTCTATGTAATCGTTGAAATGGATAGCAAAGAAGTTTTGGATGTTATTGACTATATAGGTGAGGTATAAGGGGTGGTTCATCGTTGGTGCCTCAAATTATGAATTTACTAGATAGTGGCCGATGCAATTTAGTTTCAGTCCCCCGAAAAATAATATGGTTGCTGATGCTAAGACAAGTATGGTTTGGAAACTCTCTTATGGTACTCATTTTTTTGAATCGTCTCTAACTGAAACTGAAATGCTGTAAGCGCATGATGATCGTGATAGTGTTCTTCATCTTTCTAAGCTTAGTTGGTTCTCCCTTTATTTTATTTTCATTGAAAATATAATTTGAATAAAAAATTAATTAAATTGTCAATTAAATATTATTTTCTGATAATATATAAAAATATATTATATAAAATTGTTACTTCAATTTTTAATAATTTTTTTAACAATATTAATATACAAATAAATTAATTTATTATTAATAATATAATTTGATTAAATTAAAAAATTTTAATTTAAATAAATATTAAAGTAAGATTTTATGATCTTACATACTATTTAATTACTCGCAACTTATTTCCATGGTAGCAACAAAAATATTTTTTTTTTTTTTGAAGTATAGGTTGCCACAAACATTTTATGACACGTGTCAAACATCCGTAGAAGGATGGTCTCCCCCACTTCCCGACTGTACGACCTTCGTCTTTTAAAATCCAGACCATGAGCTCTTTTGTCGTAAATCCCCAATCCTAAGAATTATCCAAAAACAAAATCCCTTTCTGTTCATCTTCGTCTTCAGGTAATTTTCTTTATATATGTTTCCAATTCTTGAATTCTTTGTTCTAGTTATTCTCATATTAAATGTATATTTGCTATTTGTTTTGGACTTTCTTTTCAAGTATGGGTCACGAGTTATGGGTATTTTGTTTACTGTTTTTTGTTTTTTTACCCCTATATTTCTGTTGTAAAAATCCCATTTTTTTAGGTTCATTTTCCTGAGAAAAAAAATCAATCTTGTCTTGCTAGGGTAGCAAATATGGAAGCTTTTGAAAAGCCAACAAAATCCCTTTCTGGGGATAAGTCTTTCGACCAAGCTGCTAATGAAGGTTCTAAAGCTTCCGAGTTTACTGTCGGAAAGCCATGGGAAAATGGTTTTAGGGTTTCTATAAATGGAAAGGAAGTTTCTTGTGTTGGTGAAGATGTCGAGGTGCTTGAGGATTCTGAAATGAATGGGGTTTCTTCTTTGTTACAAATGAAAGAAAGTGTTAGGAACATTGGTGTTAATGATGGAAGATGTGAGAGAAATGAAGGATTTGGCACTCTTTTGGGTGCTGTTGATCAAAGTAAAGAAATTGTATTGCCAAATGGTGGTGGTGATGATGATGAAACTGCGAAATTCGATCAGAAAGACAATGGTGGTAAGATCATAATGAACGGAATAGATGATGATGATTGTGGAGGAGGTGAGATTTCTGCTGGTTATTTTGTATGGGGTAAGATTAAGAATCATCCATGGTGGCCGGGACAGGTTTATACTCCAACTGATGCCTCGGATTATGCGGTTAAGCTTCGACAGAAGGGAAGACTCCTTGTTGCATATTTCGGTGATTGTTCATTTGCATGGTGCCATCCGTCTCGGTTGAAGCCTTTCAAAGAGAATTTTGAGGACATGTCGAAGTTGAGTAGCTCCAATAACTTTGTCAATGCTGTACACGCTTCAGTTGATGAAATCGGAAGACTGGTGGAGTCGAAGATGACTTGCTCTTGTGTTCTGAAGGAGAATTGTGTCGGACTCAACCGACCTCTATCAGAGAACGCCGGGATTAAGGAAGGAGTTCTTGTGCCTGAAGGCGGAATTGAAAAGGTTTCGATTGGTCTATTTGAGCCGAAAGAAGTTCTTGGTAAATTGAAACAAATTTCACGGGCTGTTTCAATGAGTAATTTGCTTGAATGTGCAGTGTTGAGCGGTTGGCTTTCGGCTTATAATCGATCAATGGGGCACCCTCGAATGCAGGGGGACCTTGAACCGCAATTGATTCCGGACATTGAAGAAAATGTTAAAACTCTTGTGGTGGATATGAGTGATTGTAATGAGGCAGTGGGAGTCCCAATCACAAGGCCAGTGGAAGAAGTTTGGATTTCTTCTGCTTCTGGTCTGAAATCTGGCCAAGACAGTCGGACTTTCTCAAGGCATCCAGAGATTTCAGAGGATGCAATGCATGACAGTAGGAAACAGAGAAGCATTGCTGAAATCTTAAAAGCTGATATAGGTGTTCAGGATCATAAGGTAACAAAGTCTGATGAACGAGCATCAAGGAAAAAGACAAAAGGCAATGATAAAGCTAATGGTGATGATGGTAGTAATTCGAGTTTCATACCGGAAAAGGGGAAAGGAACTGAGCTTTCAGGATCTCATGCTGAAACTGATGTCAATGGAGCCAATGTAGAAATGGATAAGGGTTATTCATCCAGAGGAAGGAAAACGAAGATTAAACAAGCAAGCAATAATAACGGTGATAATCGAGGTAACGATTATATCAATACTGTCTCAGCTAAAAGGAAAGTGTACTTTGATCCTAGGATAAGTAGGAATGACTCTTTTTCAAGAGAGAGGAAGAAAAGCAAGTACTTGTCTCCTCCGTACACAAGTTCAACGGGGAAGCTGAAGAGATCGGACATAGAGAATGAATCGATAGATGTTTCCAATGACACCCGGTTCAGAGAGATGATGACTAAAGCTACTGGCAATCTTGGCGAAAAGAATGCTCTCTCTGAAGAAGTTCACACGGAGCAAGAAACATCGAATGGATCAAGTTCTTCCACACCAAATCAGTACCCTGACCGGATTAGTGATCTGGCAAAAGATGAAATTTCGGCTAATGAAGTTCTAGTTGCAGTCCGGTCTATAGCTCTTAGTCCACAATACCAAAGGAAAACGAGATCTTTCGAACTTACTGTGAAGTTTTTATCTGTATTCAGAAGCTCGGTTTACCGAGATGGATTTGACTGCAAAACGTATATTCGGTTCCAACATGGTAAAAAGAGAAAATCTCCCGACTTCCCCATTGTGTCATTAGGAAGTGATGCGCCCACGGATGGTCAGATTCCCTCTGGACATAGATCCCAGAAGAAAAAAGTTGGAAAGAAAAAAGAAACAGAGATGGATCGAACCAAGCCAAAGCAAAATGCCACAGCTGCAGTTCTGAAGAAAAACGACAAGGACGCTGATGGAAATGATTTACCGGCTTCCCTCTTCATGACATTCGACCTCGGATCCTCGTTGCCCAAAAAAGACGATCTTATCCGAATATACAGCAGATATGGAACTTTGGACATGGAGGACACCAATGTGTTCGACAATAATTTCTGTGCTCGTGTCGTCTTCTTAAGAACCTCCGATGCAGAAGAAGCCTTAAGCAGTTCACAAAATGACAGTCCTTTCGGATCTGCTAATGTCAGTTTCCGGCTTCGACTTCACCAGGCTGCATCAGGTCAAAACCAAAAGGAAACACCGAGTGCCAAAATGTCTTCTCCTCTAGCAAAGGAAGGAACTGAAAGATTGAGCGAGTCATCAGCTCCCGGAAATTTGCAGCTTAGCCACATGAAGCAGAAGCTCGAAATGCTGACATCGATGCTGCAGATGGCAGATGAAAAGATGTCATCAGAGACTAAATCCAAACTACAAAGCGAGATAAAAGGGCTCTTGGAGGTGGTAAACACAATGATTGAATCTACATCTTAAACAAAGATTAACTCACTTTTAGGATGTATGGTCATGTAAAAGTTTATGTCATGTCATTGTTGTTAAATTGAGTTGGGATTTGTAGGAAATATATAGGTAAGTAGTTCATAGTTACCATTTGCATCTGTTAAAATCACCACATGCTCTGCATATACTATAAACTATGGCTGAACTAGGTTTTTATGGATACAAAATTCTGAGCTGATTGGAATCAGATTTTTCTTTTGGAATGAATAGTGGAATGCCCTAATCAGTTCTACTTCATCAACAGAGAAGTATTATTACTACTTTTGAAGAGAAAATGTTTCAGTTTCAATTACGATGACTGAACTTACTGAATTTATATTTTCAGTAGCCTAACGGATAATTTTCCTACCGACCAACCAGCATAACAAATGTGTAATCACCATTTTTCTACCTATATTATTATTAATATTATTATATTATAAGTATTATTAAATCAATCTCAAGCCCAATCCAAACCAACTTTTTCACAAAATAATACCCAGACCCAAAAAACTCGGAGCCCAAACCGAACCTGACCCGGAACCCAAACAGAGACTCGAATCGGACCCCAACCCTAGCCTAAACCTAAACCTAAACCCTAGAGTAGTTGTCCCCTAGCCCTATCAACTGTCGTCGATCTCTGCACCAACCAAAGGAGGGCTATTCTAACACATCACGCTACCGGCAGAAAACAACAAAACATAATGATTTTCATTTCCTTGTAAATGGGTATAACGAACAAAAATGATGTAAGACTCTTGGATTTTCGTTTTCCAGATGCAATAATACTGAAAATTTCAAGGTTCTATTTATATTTTTTTTAACTTCGAGTAGCGTTTTTTTCCTTTTCAGCTTCGAATGTTAACAAGGAAAAAATAATATTTTTTTAGTTTTTTCGAATAATAACAACAAATGTTTCATTTTAGTTTTGAATAACTATTAAATAAAAAAAAAGCCTCTTTTTAGTTCGAAGCAAAATCACCCAAGCCAATTTCACAGTAAAATTACAAATAAAAATGAAAATGTTAGATTTGATGTTTACCTGAGTCGGGGAGGCTTCGTCGGTGGTCATCGGGATCTGGGGAACTCGAAAGGTTTAGGAGAGTTTCGAGGGATTCTAGAGCGTTTTTTGTTGTTTTTAGACCCTAAAAAGAACCTAGGCTAGTAGATCTAAGATTTTCGGGTGTTTTGGGTTGTTTTGGGTTTTTCGACCTTGTGTGTGGCAGTCGGAGCAGGTTTAGGGCGACCGGCAATGGGCTGGACAAGGAGAGAGGGAAGAGATTTTCCCCATTTTTGTGTGTGTTTTGCTTTCAAATGAATAAAAGAAAAAAACTTGTTATATATAGAGCTAATTTGGGGGAAATCACGCTAAGGTCCCCCACTTTTAGCGTGTTTTTACAAAGTGGTTACATGAGAGATTGTATGTGTAATTTACCATTTTCCTATATGCTTTATAAATTTTTGTATATTCACACTTTAGTTCCTATAACTTTAGCATGTTTTTGCATTCTGGTCACCTGTAGGGTTTATGTAACACCCATTTCTCGTATACATTTCCATACACAAGTCACAGATGTCACTTAACTTTTAAAAACATTCCAAACCTTTGAAAAACTAGTAAAATTTTGTTTCTATTCATAAAACATTTTATTTTAGTAATAATAAAACGTTCATTAACTTTTAGTATATAAACAAATCTTAAAATTTCAACATAATAAATATTACATCATCATAAGTCTATTACTTTTCAGAGCATTATCATAAGTCTATTACATACCAGTTAATAACATCAAAAGTAGACATAGTTGATGTACAATTACTAATAAGGCGTCCCTTGATTTACGATGTCAGTTGCACTCGTTACTCGGCTTGTACTAATACCTACGCGTAAAATCAACACACGCTAAGTAATCACTTAGTGAGGCATAATAATAATGAGGTGAATTTAAAACATAAGCATATCATCACTATCAAAATAAGAATTGAATATTTCAAATCATTATAATTTCTATTGTTTTGCACACATAATGCCGATACGGTAATTCAAAAACTCTTTATGAATTATGTGGGTTGCAAACATAGTGCCGATACGGTAATTCACAAACTCATTATGAATTACATGGGTTGCACACATAGTGCCGATACGGTAATTCAAAAACTCATTATGAATTACGTGGGTTGCACACAAAGTGTCGATAAGGTAAATCACAAACTCATTATGAATTACGTGGGTTGCACACATAGTGTCGATACGATAATTCACAAACTCATTATGAATTACATTGGTTGCACACATACTGCCGATACGGTAATTCACAAACTCATTATGAATTACGTGGGTTGAACAATAGTGCCGATACGATAATTCAAAAACTAATTATGAATTATATGGGTTGCACACATTGTACCGATACGGTAATTCACAAACTCATTATGAATTACGTTGGTTGCACACATAGTGCTGATACGGTAATTAACAAACTCATTATGAATTACGTGGATTGCACACATAATGCCGATACGGTAATTACAACATATACATTTAACAAAATGCTTCTATGACTATCATAACATAGAATTACATAATAAATGCACTCACCTGGTTTGTCTCACTATTATGCCCAAAATGTAGTCCTACTATTCGATGACTTTATCCTTGCTTTTCTGTTTGCTTGAGTCAGGAGCTTGATTAAGATATACACATTCAAATATGATGTTAGTATACTTAATAACATTTATCCAAAGTAATAATACCCAAAAGTACTATAAGTTTCAAATTCTATTAAAATTCACCCGGACTTAACATTTCAGACTGAATAGTATCGATACCCCTCATAGGGTATCGATACTTCTCTTCTATGGTATCAATACCCACTTCGGTATTGATACCATTTTAGCATTATGGAATTTTATTTATGATTATGGTATCGATACCTCCACCCTAATATCATTACTTCTTTAAATCGGCATCGATACTGTTCATCATAATCCTCAAATTTAACCTTATAGTATCGGTACTGTTCTTCAAGTACCGATACCCTTGCCCAGATTTTACCTCTTTCACTTCGAATTTTACACCATTTTCACCTAAATCTCTTACTCTTATCTTCAACCATACCATTAGACTCATTATCCATAGTCCCAACTAACTTACTTTCACAAATTTCTTTATAACGTCCAAAATCTTCAAAGAACACTCAAAACTAAGAATCACACCCAAATTTCAAACATGTTTTCAAACACTTTTAAGGTTCCAAATCTCTTATTTACCTCTTTGACAAGTCAAATATGCCTTTAAACTCCAATAATTGACCCAATTTCATCAAATCACTTAAAACCCCATTTTATTAAATCTCTAATAAATCACTAATCTCTTAGTTTTATTCATTCTTAATATTTCCTTAAGCTTTTCTATCACTTAAGGTTTCAAAAACAAACCATAACCAAAAGGAAAAACCAACTTGAAGGAAATCTTACCTTTGATATGGAGGGCACGGGGACAATGAGAAGAAGAAGAAGAAGAAGAAGAAAAGAACAAAGTTTCAAGCTTTTACCATTTTCCCCTTATCCCCTTAATAAATATCCCAAATAAAAATGAATATTAAATTCATTTCTTTCTAAAAGACCATAATGCCCCTCCATTTCTTCCATTCTTACTAATAGGTCTTAAACACAAATTTCTTAAATAAATCCTTGTACTTTTCAATTTATTCAAATTTACCCACCAAATTTTAAATCCTTTCACTATAGTCACTGATATGATGTTTGGGGTATTACAATTCTCCCCCTTAAGAAAATTCGTCCTCCAATTTTAAAAGGTACCTGATGTGAAGAGGTGTGGTTCTTGCATCCTCATGTCCTCCTCTCTTTCCCAAGTAGCTTCCTCTACTTTATGATTTTGAAAAAGTACTTTAACTAGAGGAATCTTCTTGTTACATAGTTCTTTGATTTCTTTAGCCAAGATCCACACTGGTTCTTCTTCGTAAGTCAATTTTAATTGGACCATTATTTCCTCTGGTTTGATGATATGCAATGGATTTGATTGGTAATTCCTAAGCATCGACATGTGAAAAACATTATGGATCTTGTCCATATTGGGAGGCAAAGCTAACTGATAAGCTACGGGTCTGACCCTTTTTAAAATCTCATAAGGTCCAATAAATCTCGGACTCAGTTTTCTTTTGCGCCCAAATTGCAATGCTTTCTTCCAAGGCGATACTTTCAGAAATACTTTATCTCCCACTTGATATTCAATCTCTTTTCTCTTTAAATCAACATAAGACTTTTGTCGATCAGAAGCTATTTTAATATTATCCTGGATAACTTTCACTTTATCTTCCATTTCTTTCATTAAATCAGGGCCAATTGGATCTCGATCTTTTAGCTCAAACCAATTTAATGGTATTCTGTACTTCCTCCCATACAAGGCTTCATACGGGGCCATCTTAATACTCGATTGGTAACTGTTATTATAAGCAAATTCCGCTAAAGGCAAATATCTTTCCCATGATCCTTTGAATTCTGTCACGCATGCCCTTAGCATATCCTCCAATACCTGAATTGTTCGCTCTGACTGCCCATCTGTCTGCAAATGAAAAGTCGTGTTGAAATTCAATCGAGTATCCAATACCTCGTGAAGGACTTCCAAAATCTTGAAGTAAACCTTGGATCTCGGTTGGATACTATCGATACAGGTACTCCATGTAGCAGAACTATCTCTTTTATATACAAATATGCATATCTATTCATCGAGTAATCTTCTCGAACTGGAATAAAGTGAGTCGTCTTGGTCAATCTGACCACAATTACCCATATTGAGTCCTTTGTATTGGGTGGAAAAGGTAGACTTGAAACAAAATCCATAGTAATTCGTTCCCACTTCCACTCAGGAATGGACATCGCTTGCAGTAATCCGGAAGGCACTTGATGTTCAACTTTCACCTGTTAACATGTCAGTCATTTTTCAACAAACTCTGATATATCTCTTTTCATGCCAGGC